AGGCTACATCTTTCATATTTGTATCTATTAGTGCAGTATCTTGGTCTCACAAAAGTATACTCGTGAATTTTTTTGTATACTCGGAGAAAATGAAAATTTATTTTCTCACGTTTTTCTGTATGATATGAATCCATTTTTTTGCGCATTCGCAGTTTTCCAGAAGTGAAAAATAATCAATGACAATCCTGCTTTCATACCGGAGTTCTGTGTTTACTTCCCATCAMAATGAAGATTAGAAATCGKGATCATATTTTTGTTAAGTCTTTTAACGAAAGCGGGCAGTTCTCGTTTGAATTAATGAGAAGTTCTCGTTGAACCTTAAATTATACTACTCTTCCCAGTAGACCGAGGTAGTTGTGATTTTTTAATCGCCTTCGTAGCGTCTGTTATGTTATCCGAAAGTACATTTCAAATCGACCACGTGATGCCAATGTTGTACCACGAGGACAAGTTTTTTACACCACGTGATTAAAACTTGACTGAATTTTGATCACGTGATGTAAAAAACWTGTCCTCGTGGTACAACATTGGCATCACGTGGTCGATTTGAAATGTACTTGCGGATAACATAACAGACGCTACGAAGGCGATTAAAAAATCACAACTACCTCGGTCTACTGGGAAGAGTAGTACCGAGACCTTTGACTCTTTTTCAAAGGAAGCAAATTAAAGAGATATGGTGGAGTTAAATGGTTCACCATTTTATAAAAAAAAGAATTAGTTTGTGCACTTTTCTTCTAACTTTCAGATCTTCCCAACATAGTTCATTTAACAGGTTCACTTTACTAGTTCCCTTAATTGCACCAGTTACTATCCGAGCACACTCATATTGTATATCTTCTAGGATCTTACTATCTTCTTCACTACAACCATCCCACATAGTGTCACCATGTTCCATCAAAGGACGAATTAAGCTTTTATACAGAACAATTAAGGTTGAACGATTCAATTTATATTTGAGACCCTTAAAGATGTTTAGGGCTTTACTAGCCTTTTCATGAATGGACATGATGTGTTCTTTCCAAGAAAGGTTGTCTGACAGAATTAAACCAAGATGTGTATGAGAGCTAACTTCGCGAATAGGGACATCATTGAAACAAAGTATTGGGTGTGCTATTTTGCTACGCTTTACTGTGAACGTCATCGATTCACATTTAGTCATATTCATTTTCATTGACCACTTATCACACCACTGACTTATAACCTTCAGAACATTGTTTAGCTTACATGACGATCGTAGAGGGTTGTCCACAATATCTAACAGTGAAGTATCATCAGCATAGAGAAAGCACTGCGATTGTACATCCACACAGACATCATTTATATAAATCAAAAACAGCAAAGGTCCCAGTATGGACCCTTGTGGTACTCCTGCGTATATATTGGACCAGTTAGAATATTGTCCTTCAATCACAACACACTGCTGTCTATTTGAGAGATAACAGCGGAACCAACTCAATAACTGGTCTCTATTGCCTATAGAGGTCTCTCTTGTAAATCACCTTATGGTGACAGCGATAACCTCAATAAAGATTATTTATTATTACTATGCTTTGGAGTTTGAAATTAGACCTTCGTGCCAAACTCTGTCAAACGCTTTACTTAAGTCCAGAAATACCATTCTAACCTCTTTACCTTTTTCTAAAGCCTCGTAAGTACGATGAATAATCAAAGTCAGTTGATAAACTGTACCGTCGCCTGGTCTAAAGCCAGACTGGTGGACGTTAAAAAAGCTAATATTCTCCAGAAAATTATATACTCTAATGAACACTACTTTCTCGATAATTTTAGAAAACGAATCAAGTAATGAAACGATAGTTTTCTTTCGACTGACGATCCCTTTTTTTGAATAACGGTATAACATTAGCTTTTTTCCTCTCGCTAATAAACTCACCACGTCTAAGACTAGTATTACATATGACTGAAAAGGATTCAGCAATACCTTTACAACACATCTTAATTATTTTGTTACTGAGATTATCATGCCCGCACGCTTTGGAGGTATCCACTTTCTGCATCAGATTCAGTATTTCAGTAGCGGTCGTCTCTATATTAGATAAAGATTGAAACGAAAATTGCGCAGGAGGAAGAGAATGTAGATCTTGTTTCAATTCGTCAATTTTACTTTGATTTATAAAAAAGTCATTAAACAAACTAGCTTTTTTACAYRAATCCACTGTAAATTCAACCTCTTCTCGGAGAGCTGGGATTGATGTGCAATTTTTTTTCTTGTATGCAGATTTAACACAACCCCACCATTTCTTAGAAGCAATGGAAGTGTCTGACAACTGTTTGTTTAATTTGATATAATAATCGTTTTTAGCCTTACGGATCAGGCTTGTGGTGATGTTTCTTTGCGCTTTGTAGTTTTCCCAAGCAGTATTTGTTTTTTGTTTATTGAACTTTTTTGATAACCTGTCACATTTACGAATTGCTGCGCGGATCTTGGAGATGAATCATGGCTTATCACGTGGACGAATAGTTACTGTCTTACTATGTATAAACTTACAAATAATATTGTTCACTTGACTGAACCATGATATATACATGTTATCAATATGCGTTATATTTTCAGTGATCGAATCCCAATCTATCTCTTTTAATTCTTTATTTAGTTCTAGAATGTTAACCCCAGAAAAATTCCAAATATGTCTTTTGAAAGCTCGTGGTCTAGCAAAAGTAACACAGAATTTAGCAAATATATAAGAATGGTCAC